TAAATGCACTTATTTACTTCTTTCTTAGTGTGTTTTAATTTATACTTCTTCATTATAGTTTGTTTTTTATAATACATTGTTATGTTTTAAGTTAGTAACACCATTTTTTTTATTGTTTTCATCAGTTCTGGGGTTTGAACTCAGGGCCTCCAGCTCTTATTAAGCTTTTCCTTCATTGAATGTGTTCATTTAACAATGAACAATGAATGCATTTGGGTCTCTAGTTCCAGATGTTGCAGGCTTATTTGAGATGAGTCTCATGGTTTTTTTATGCATCAACTGGCTTCTGAGCTACTGGCACCCCTATTAATTTTAAATTTCATAGTAATCCTATATCAATGATTTGAACAATTTTCCATGTTCTTCAGGTGTTTTCATGTCTTGTAATTTATTTTATTTTTAGAAATATTTTTTTTAAAAAATGGAACCTGGAATTAACATGATTTATAAATGGCTAGAGTAACAGTATATCTATTCAACTGTTATTTTTATTTATTTATCTTTAACATTTATTAAAGAATTTTATGAATGTAATGAGCAGTTACGTGGAATGTAAGTAATAAAGTCCTTTAGTTTTTTATTGTCAATATTATATGTTCCTAAATGACATTGAATATCTTCTTTTTGACATAATCCTCATAGCTTTCAAATTATATTTATTTTTACATCTAAATTGTAATAGAACTTTAAACATTTACATTTTAGTAATTTTTATTTAAGCATTTATATTTTGAACTGTACATTTTACATTTTATTTATTTAACTTAATATAAGACTTATTACCTTGGTGCCTGTACATCTTTCATCCTTGCTTAGATGAATTTATTTTATTCGTGTTACCTATATGATTTTTTTCATGATTATCTGCTTTTCATTTTGGCTAGAAATGCACACAGATATGTATTTGTGTTTGTATTTTAGTAATCTTTTTGGCATGAGTCTCTGTCCAAAATAATAGTGCTTACTTACTTTTACCATTTTTTTCCCTGACAGTTTGCACTTTGGGATTCAGTCTTGTTCAGTCTGCTTGCTGGGTGCTGCTCTACTACCTTGAAGCATGCCTCCAGCCAGCCCTGTTTTTGGCTTTGTTTTGAAAGTGGACCCTCTCTGACTTTCCTGGGCTAGCTTCAAACTGTGATTCTCTGGATCTCAGTATCCTGAATAACTAGCATTATAGACATGAGCCACTGGAGACCAGCTGCCTTGACATTTTGAAAATAAATATTGTCAAACAAAAATAATAGTTGTTAAATCTTCACTATTTAAGCAGACAATTCAATGTACTGCTATTCCACACTTCTCAACAAGTGTATAAAGTGTTATTGTTGATGTGAGGCTAAGAGAAATTTATAGGAACATATTGAAAGAGGAGAGCAAATATACAGGAATCACCATTAAACATCTTCAAGCTAACTGTAAAAGCACAAACTTTAGATTGGTTCTAGGTCAAATTCTTCTTGATGTGTGAAGATTTGGTAATTGTATTAAAAAAAAGTCATACCTTCAAGAAATACTGTGGCATATTCAGGTTAACATTAGGGAAGGCCTTGCATTACGGTTTGGAATGTATGAATGTAAATATCAAGAATATCTCAAGCTGGATTAAAAGATTTCAGCAATGGTAACACTAGAAGAATTTAAGATCATAAGAAATTTTTCCATGCCGGTAAATTGGAAACCACGTAATTTAAATGATTCCTCAGTACCGCATAAACAGAAAAATCCTTAAGTGGTGCTGTGGCTCAAGTGGTAGAGTGCTAGCATTGACCAAAAGAAGCTCAGGGACAGTGCTCAGGCCTAGGCTCAAGGACTGGCAAAAAAAACTCAATTGATTCTTGTAGGAGTGAAAATCTATAAATCTATTCTAGTTACTTCCAAGGAAAGATTGAAATTATGTTCCTGAATGAGTGATTCACTAACACCAGATTGAATACCACTGATATGTGGTCTGTGAGCTATGGCTAGTCAAGCATTCTAGAAAACATAAGACATATACATGCAAATATAATCAAATATGATATTTTTCAGTTTAGAAGAAGATATATGGTTGAAACTATCATGTAAATGTATTTTTATTCAAAGGAAGGCAAGGTTACTTTTTATCATCTCGACCAATTTCTCTCCCTTCTCTCATTTAGCAAGAGCCCAATAGTAGTAGATATTTAATAATTGTTGACTGCAGGAAGAAGGAAGATATACTGGATTTTTATCAAAGTTGGGAAGTCCAGTGTCATTTATGAACTCACATAGTAACTCCTGGCTATGTTAAAGAAAAATAAATTTAGAAATAGCAGATTGTTCTGGGGCCTCTGTGATGCTATCTAGAAAAGGATTTTTGCTGCTGTTTATCTTGAGTAAATTTGTAAGATAAATCTGTTTTATTAGCATCATTGCCAGGATTTCTTTCTGGAACCTTAAAACAACTACCGAGTTTTTCATCATCAGACAATTCAGTCAACTTTGCTGACATGCCAGTAAAATACTTCGATAGTATTAATCAGAGTAATTGCTACAGATTGCTAGAGATCACTGTAACATGAAATTTTTTTGCTTAACAAAAATTTCTAAACATATCAACCAGCACTTTTCATAGGAAGGAATGTTAAAAACACTATATAATTCATAAACTATATAAATAAACTTCATGAATCAGTTTACTGAATTAAATTAAGTCAACTAATTGATTGAGATAGAATAAAAATATGCTATCAGTACTCTTTAATTCCAACTGAATTTCTGAAAACGTAATCAGATCAAGAGTTCTTTTAATTGAACCTCTGAGTGTACGAAGGTATTTGTAACCAGGAAAAAAATGAAGTGAAAAGTGAGCCACTAAAATTATGAAGTAAATCCTGCCTCCTGTATGGAACCCTGTTTCCCAGGGCAGAAACTTATTTGAAGCTGTGTGTTTTGGGTGGTGGAAATGTTGTTACCTAGCAACAACCCCTCCTTCTAACTCCCTGCTGCTGGAGTAAAACTGGTCATAATTGATTACTAGTTTGCTGTATCTATAGAGAACAAGGTAATGATGTGGTAGGGCGTGATTCTCCATGCTAAGAAACATACCAATTTTTACATTTGATATTTCATGGAGTGCAGTTTGTCTAAAAGATTGTGTAATGGGTAAAGGACTATTCATCAAATGAAAATAAGAAGAAACTTAGGTATTTTCTTAATAACATTTCTTTTCAGTTTACTTATAAAGTAAGCAAGAAAATCATTACTACAATAGTACTAGCTCTGGCAATAGATAACCCTATCACATGTCCTGAGAAATGAGACAGTATGGAATGAGTTAGAGGCTTGGAGACATATGAGTTAAATCACAGGTTTCAGACAGCATCTTAGTATCTGAAGGTATGATTAATGATATACTAATTTATGTATAACATAAACATAACATACTTATGTTTGTAGCAAGTGAGCTTTGCCATATGTTAGCAAAAACTTAGCTAGAAAACATGTACTTCATTACAATCCATTCTATAGATCCTTGTGTGGTATGCATCCCTGATAAATGCCACTCCCTCTTTCATGTAATGTACATTTATTCTAATGGTTGTTCTAATCAGGTGCATGCATAACTCAAAAGGCAGGTGGTCTTAATGGAGGGGTAAGAACACTATCAAAAAGTCTACTGATGGAAAAATTAAATACAGGAAATTATTTTCTCTGTTTTTATAGCATGAAGATGTAAAGATTTTTTAAGCAATCTGTTCAAAGAATGCTAAAATGCCAAGTATGTGGGAGCTATTAGAAAGGGGGAAAATAGAGACTTCGGTTTGTAAAATTTTCCATGATGCAAAAGACTGAAGCCAGCATCTCTCCAGACACAGTGCTGAGACTCAGGGCAACCATTTGCTCATGTGCAGAAAATTGTCTCTCATATTGTAGCTTTCTGTGTAGTTTTCCCCTAGTGCCACCTTTTTCTTCATCCCAGCATATATACTGAATCTTCCAGAACACAGGAATTCTTTGTGGAACAATTAATAACATTTGGAAGTCAAAAGCACAGTTGTCTCCTTTAGAAAACTGCTAAGCATTTGTCTTAAAAAGCCACACTCAAAAAAAAAAAAAAGAAAGAAAACCATACTCTTCAGATTGTGGCATCATTATGTGCCCATATACTTTTCCCCAAGAATATCATGGTTCAGAAAAAAAATCAATAATCAATATTATTTTAGGTTTAGGTCTAATCCTCCTTATTTGTCACAAACCCCAAGAGAGTCAGTGACTCTAAGTATAAATGTCATTCCAGGAGCACTGTCATTATATGGAAAGTTATTCCTGAGAGAGAGAGAGAGAGAGAGAGAGAGAGAGAGAGAGAGTGGATACAGAAGGGATTATGCCCATCTGTTCCTAAGTACTTTAAGTGGTCAAATGTCAGATATTAAAGTGATGAGAGCTGACACACCAGCAAGGAGCCATAGCACCAGCAAAATATTCATACTTACAGTTTCCTAGATCATATGGGAGTCAAAGTGGGAAAGCGGACGTCTCATTCAAAATATTTCAATTTGCAGTGGATCATGCCCAACTACAGTAAGTGAAACCTGCATTTTATATGTCAAAGAATGACTAAAGATTAAAAAAATTCATAATGCCTTCCTCTTTTCTACAGTGAGGCAGGAATCTTTCCCTTTTGCTTCCTTTAACTGTCTCTATAAAATCATGATCTTCTGGTAACTCAGATACACTCTAGCAGGTGATCAGGTTCATTTTTGAATTAGGAACTGACAACAATCAGGTTCAAGACGCATCTTTAAGTGCCTCTGTGTCCCCACAGAACAGCAAAGCAAGTATCTAGTAGTCTAACAGTTAAAATAATTGATGACAGCGTTCTGAATCCCCCAGAGAGGAGAGAGGAAGCAAGAAAGAGGGCGAGAAGGAGAGGCTGGGAGGGAGGAGGGGGGTGGGCAGGTGCTGATTTCAGCCCTGTAGCGTCAGCATTGCGTCAATTCGGGTTTCAGCCACGTCTGGAGTCTGGAGACGAGCTTTTCAGAAGAGCCAAAACAGGAACAGGGGTGGCAAATCACTGGGCGAGGGCGCGTGGACCTCCCTCCCTGCCTCCTCCTCCCTGTTCCAGGCGCAGATCCCCTGGGCTCTGTGCTGTTGGGGAAAGACAGAGCTTCACATTCAAGCAAGTGTATTAAGCCTGGGAGTTTCCGTTCAGCACCTCGGACAGAACACGCAGCAAAAAAATGGCTCCGATCACCACCAGCAGGGAAGAATTTGGTAAGCAAGTTGCTTAACTTAGAGCTGTGGTTGTTCCTTAAATACCGCGGGGTGGGCTGTGATTTTCCTCGCCCCCTCCTCCACTGGATATTGAATATATGTTTATATAATTTCCTTAAAGTAGTCAGTTAGAAAGGAAAAGGAGAGCGGCAGATGGTTAATTGTGGCTTTCTACTATCTCTTCCACCCTCGGTATCTGTCTGCTTAAAACTGCTTTCTGTTAGGGGGATTGTACCTTCCAGAAGTTCCTAATCGTTCCGGGAGCTCTGTAGATTGCAGCCAGCGCTGAGTATAGGAAAAGGCGTCTGTTGTTCATATTCTGGGTTCATTTGTTTTGTAGATTATTCTTGTTTGTAGGTAGCAGACCTTTTTAGGGGGAGGCACATAGGCTCACGGTTACATAAGAGTTTGAGCTTGTAAAGAATAACCTATATTTGAACTGTATAACTGTATAAATGAGCCTCTGTGTGTGTGTGTGTGTGTGTGTGTGTGTGTGTGTGTGCATTACAGTTAAGATAGTACAGTTAAGGGACTTAGGGAATGAACTAGCTCAGCCCAGTTATTTCACTGTGAGCTAACAGAGCGTCCAGGGCAGGGCTACAGGATGCACAGTCTGCTAAAAGGAATTGGAAACTTAAATTGTGGCTTCTGTGTACTTGTTTACTATTCCTTCAAATTTTTGCACTATGGATTTCCTTGTACGATTCAATAAATTAGATGTACTTCTTAGAATAAACAAGTAGTCTGCTTAGAGCCAATTATATTTCCAAGGCAAGAGATCAGAATTTTGCTTGTTTATTTTAAACGGACTGGTGTAGAAGTTTATGATTAAGAGTGATATGTATGGATCTGCAATAATTGTTGCTAATCTGAATGGAATCACCATGATCTTTGCCTCAAAAGCTTAAGACCTTATTGGTAGAGGAATTCTGGCAGTATTTGAGTCCATGTTGTCTTGAAAGCTTAGCTATTTGATATAAGTGTTAAATAGGGACAAGTTGTGGTTTCAGACTCATACATGATTTTTCAAAGATCTTTCCATGGGTAGGTTTATTTCTTTGTGATGTTTATACCCAATTTTTGTTCTGTTTCAAAGACTGTCTAGAAGTGAGGTGTCTTCTGAGACTGTATTAGTGAAAATGTGTTCTACCTTTTCAGTTTACTTAGAAAATAGTGTTTTTCCACTGCTTTTTATTGTTCTTGCATTAGCTGGAAAATCATTTCAGTTCATGAATCTGCTTTTAGTCCCTGGCCTGAGTGTCCAAGAGTGGGGACGTTTACCCTCCACAAAGACTTAAATAGAACAGAAAACTGGAAGCTGATGCTAACTTCAGTTGATTATTTTAACTCTGGCCTTACTCTTTTTCTGTGTCATTCACTTTTCTTATTTAGGAAATGTAAAGCTTTTTTTTTTCATTTTTACAAGATTCAGTTTCTTCATATCATTTAACTGCAGAAAATTTTAATTGATATTGGGTTGATTTCCTTTTGTATACTAGTTATTTTTGTTGTTTTTTCAGTTTTATTTATTTTTTGGTTCAGTTTTATGATGAGATAGAGAGGTTACTTTGGAAGATGAAAAAGAGTATAACAAAAGATTGGTCTTTTGGATTTAAGAATTCTTAACCCTTTTCTGTCTGGGACTTTTAGCCATGCTGCTCACTGAAGTAAAATTAGATGAGACTAGGATTCAATTTTTATATTATTGCATTAGTTATACTCACTTCAAATATTTTAAACATTGACTTAATTGATACTCTAAGCTAGTGGTAGCAATATTGCTTTTATATACAGAGTGTTAGTCATTTGTCTGAGAAATATGCTTATAGATAAAATTTGCCATATGGAAATATGTTAAGAAAAATCAGTTTCACTAAGATTATACTTATATGTATTTACTCCTCTCATTACATGCTAAGAGTCCTGATGACTTTATAGCAATTGTTCTGTTTTTATCTAATTTGAATTAATTTTCACTGGATATTTCAATGTTTGAAGAATTTTAGATTCACATAGGGGATTGTAGTAAACTAAATTAAATACCACTAGTATCTTATAGCTTTAAGTATTTTGTTATTTTCTTCAATATAAGTACATCTTTTGCTACTGCTTCATAATTGAGATGAGTATTTTTAATCAGTTTGTGTCAATAGTATATAGCTCCCATTAAAAAAAATCAACTATGTAAACCACTGAATTTCTAGATGCTTGCTTCTTGAAACCTGGATTAATAAGGAAGTATAAAAATATAGAATTTATTTGAAGCACATGCATTGAAGGCTCCATAGTCAGTAAGAATTGATGCTGTTGGAAAGCCTTGAAATGTCAATGCAAAAGTAATGAAATTAGTACTGACCCCATCATCGTGTAGGTGGCTCTTGTTTTCTGAGAAAACCAATAGGTCAGGGTTATTAAGCATGCCTCTGCCTCCATACATGACCCAGATCCCATTTCATCTTCTCATTTGATCCATGAAAAAAACCTACTGAGATGAAGGTTCTTCTATCATTTTGTATTTTTATTATACTGTGTGTCACCCAAGAAATGTGTATATCCCTGAAGTTAGTGTGAAATGGGTATAGAGCTTACACCCAGAACTGCTGGAAAGTAATTCTGTCTGTCTAAGCTGTAGCAATTGCTAACTCTGTTATGCTTTTCCAAGAGTCTCATATTTCTGCGCTGTGCCTTTAATGTATGTTATTGGTCACTTGATTTTTCAGACGAAATTCCCACAGTGGTGGGGATCTTCAGTGCCTTTGGCCTCGTCTTCACAGTTTCTCTCTTTGCCTGGATCTGCTGTCAGAGAAAATCATCCAAGTCCAACAAGACTCCTCCATACAAGTTTGTACATGTGCTTAAAGGAGTTGATATTTATCCTGAAAACCTAAATAGTAAAAAGAAGTTTGGAGGAGATGAAAAGAATGAAGTCAAGAATAAGCCAGCTGTGCCAAAGAATTCACTGCATCTTGATCTTGAGAAGAGAGATCTCAATGGCAATTTCCCCAAAACGAATGTCAAAGCTTGCAGCCCTCCTGATCTGGATAGTGTAACCCACAAGGTCTTTCCAGAAGGAGAAAAAGAGGCAGTGTCCCCTGATAGCCTAAAATCCAGCACTTCCCTTAGTTCAGAAGAGAAACAAGAGAAGCTGGGAACCCTCTTTTTCTCCTTAGAGTACAACTTTGAGAAGAAAGCCTTTGTGGTGAACATCAAAGAAGCTCGTGGCTTGCCAGCCATGGATGAACAATCCATGACCTCTGACCCCTACATCAAAATGACGATCCTCCCAGAGAAGAAGCACAAAGTGAAAACCAGAGTGCTGAGAAAGACCTTGGACCCAGCTTTTGATGAGACCTTCACATTCTATGGGATCCCTTACACTCAGATCCAAGAGCTGGCTCTGCACTTTACCATCTTGAGTTTTGACAGGTTTTCCAGAGATGATATCATTGGAGAAGTCCTTATGCCTCTTACAGGAATTGAATTGTCTGATGGAAAAATGCTAATGACCAGAGAGATCATCAAGAGAAATGTTAGGGTAATTTACTTTGAGTGCTAATGTGTTTAGAAACAATCTGTAATGCAGGTTTCTATTACAATGATAAGTTTTTACCTATCATCCCCACCATGTGAAGTTTCATTGTTATTAGTTATAATCTGAGAACAAGGGGCTAGAGGAAATGAATGAAAATACAACCCATATCTGTAATTCCTAAAGATATCATATAAACAGGCATATTTTCTCCTGCTTAAACAAGATTTACATTGTTTTGTTAATTTGCATTATAAGCATTTCAGTAACGATAGCTACTTTAACACTGATGTGACAATTACTTAATCAACAAATTTAATAATATTTCAAGGTCGGCATAATTGAATTTGAAATTGATATTTAACATTGAATTTTTTTCAACAGTCCTTTAAGTGGTTGGATTTCTTTTCAAAGGAGAGGTCATCATTTTATATTAAATTATGAATGCCTGTCTGTGTGGAGCAATAGGAAGTGGATTAATCTGACTTTCTGTTTATGCTACTTTGGGATCTCTGAGATCACTAGAAAATGACAAAACATTGATTGAATAAATTTAACCCTGTTTCCATTAAAAATACAGAACTGCATTAATTCTTATGGCACATTGTCATACAATTTGTATATGTAAAGTTCAGAACAGCTTTCAAACTTATTATGAGCCTCTCCTTTCCTTGTGTGTGTGGAAGTTAATGAAAGTCAAGGGATGTTAACACACCTAGTTTGAGATACCAGGCTGATGAGTGACATGGTAAGATGAATGATCTGTATGTCTCCTGCTCTAATTGCCCTGGGAGTGCCTAAACACACAGCTACTCTATGTCAGCTTTGACATAAATATGTTACAATTCCATGAGTTCTTTCTCAGTAACAGGCCCCAAGTTAACATTTGATACTTATAGTTAAAACTTATATTTGAATCTTTAGTTGCACATCCTAGTATAATTGAAGTATAAATTATATCTAAGAATCCTGCAAGGAAAGATATTATGACACTGTCTAATAGGAACATTATAAATATAGAGACAATATTCTTCAATACTTAAATTTATGATTTTTTCCTTAGATTAAAGGGATGCTTGAGGTAAGGAAATGGTCAACAATTTTAAAGACATCACAATTCTGGAGAGATGATGGGTGGGAGTCAGAATATTATTTGATTTGGATTCAAATTCCTGTATCAGTACACAAGAATTTGAAATCAAGTTTGCCACATTATTCATGATGTTATTCACAGTGCTTCAAAGAATTGGGTAAGTTTTTATTAATATTAGCAACTTCAAAGACTGGATAGATCTGTTAAATAGCAAGAGCCAAGTGGAGTATAATCTAAATATCCTTTAATTAATTAATTTTTTTTGTAAATAATGGGTGTGGCCAACTTCTTGAATTCTGAAATTCCTAAAAGAACCACAAGATGGCAGGCAATGGTTTTTAGGCCAAAACAGCACAAAAGCTTTTAGTTACTCATAGATGACATATGTATTAAAGAAATTTGTTAAATTTAAATAAGAATGTCATTATAGTCCTGTAAAATTTTTGCTTAATATACAAACTTCAAACTTCAAAATATAATAAAAAATACTTGTCTTGCATTTTTCATTGTTCAGAAGTCCTCTGGCCGGGGCGAGTTACTGATCTCTCTCTGCTACCAGTCCACCACAAATACTCTCACTGTGGTTGTCTTAAAGGCTCGACACCTGCCTAAATCTGATGTGTCTGGACTTTCAGGTAAGAAAACTTCCAAAATACTTAGGTTCCATCTATAAGTGAGCAGTGCATTAACAACATACTTAACTATTCACATTGGTCGGTTATTTTATTTTTAGTTTTATTTACATTCACAAATGATAGAATTAGTTTTTCTTTTTATCATCTTTTGAAATTATAATGTAAGCCAGATGTTACCATTAGTAAGAAAAACATCATATAGTTCTAAATTCTCAGACAAAGCCAGTGTGTAGTAAATATCTGATGGATGAGGTTGAGACAAAAGAAACACTGAATTACAAGGTGAGAGATCATGACTAAAAGTACCAAGATGGAAATAACATTAAGAGCTAAAGGGAAAAGTTTGATTTGGTTATTTTAAATGGGCCCAATTATTCTATTTAAAAGTTTTCTTTTACTATATTATATCTAATATTTCATAATAGTTAACATATTTTACAATTCGATTTTAGGTTTTCCACTAAGTCTTAGAAAACAAACACAACCCCCTTGTAAAGAATTATGAAAAAGAATATAGACTATGGGTTAAAATGATCTAAATTCCAACCCTGACCTACTCATTTCTAAACAGATTATCCTTATGTATATTTAAAATATTCCTTATATATTGGAATAATAATATAATGCTGAGGAGTACTTTGAAACTTACAAGTATATATTTCATTACAAAGTCATCTAGTATTATGTTTTCCTTTAGTGAAGAAAGTTGGAGGTATGGTCTTAAAGTTTTTACTAAAATTAATTCATATGTTGTGGTGGGAAAAAACTAAAACAATATAGTGAAATATATGGCAGTGTAGCATAATCTTAAAATCCTCACAGTAAAGTTGACATGAGAAGTTTAACTGTGGGAAACAGCAAACCCAACAAAAGAGTAATTAATAACAGAAAAATAAAAGTAAAGACCTAGCCACAGTGGACTCCAAGTTCCCAACCTATGGAAAAAACGAGCATCAATTCAGTGTGCTTACATATGGAGCATGTGTTTTAAAGTACTACTTAATTTTGTTCAACAAGTTATTCATTATTATCATATGTCCACAGGAAGTTCTATTTTCTTCTTGATGAGACTATCTTTGTCTAGATTGATAATTCCTTCCCTGGTTTTAAACTGCTTTTCTCTTTTATTGTATAATCACCTTATTTTCAATCATGTTAACAAGAGAAGGACCAAACCTTATCTGTATCCAGTCTCTCTTTCACTGTTCCTACCGTGTAGGGGGCAGGCTGTGTTTGCTAAGGGCACGATGACCTTGAGATCAGACCTGCAGCTGGACTTGCTTGTGGTAATGCCTGTTGTCTACTCTTTCAGATCCCTATGTAAAAGTGAATCTGTACCATGCCAAAAAGAGAATCTCCAAAAAGAAGACGCACGTGAAGAAATGTACCCCCAATGCGGTGTTTAATGAACTGTTTGTGTTCGATATTCCTTGTGAGAGTCTTGAAGAAATAAGTGTGGAATTTCTAGTTTTGGATTCCGAGAGAGGGTCCCGAAATGAAGTGATTGGGCGGTTGGTCCTGGGTGCAGCAGCCGAAGGAACGGGTGGGGAACACTGGAAGGAAATCTCTGACTTCCCCCGGAGACAGATTGCCAAGTGGCACATACTTTGTGATGGTTAGCATCCTAGTGATGTGCTGACACTGAAGGGATTTTACTAAGCAAGGAACAATTTTCTTTCTTATGTGTGATTGTAAGCTTGTGACTCAAGCTATCATGTTTTTTTCTTTTTTGATAGAGGTGGATTGAATTAGCATAACAGACAGTAACTGTAAATGTGTATCATGATACTTTCCCCTTTATTAGAGAAGTTGGATAAATCGTCATAACACATTCAGTTTCCCTGTAGTGCTATAAATGGGGATAGCCAAGCCTTTAATGAGCACTCTACCATAATCCCAAGCCTTGTATGTGCTATAGAGGTGACCACATCATTCAAATGTGTCCTGAGACATCCACGTGGTTCAGTAATATAATTTTTAAAAAATGGAAAATACAGAAATATATCCTTTTTTTTCTCCTTAAGGCTGGAGAAATCAAATTTTCTTTAAATCCAAAGACATTACAGAAATCTTCTCTAGTATGTTTTTGGTTACTTGTGTCATGTGTAAATGGTTGTTCTACATAGACAAGTATCTGCTCAGTTCACTTTGGTTTCTAATCATTTTGATCCAATTTTATAAGGGAAGTTACTTAGGCTCCTTTTGAAAGGACAGTGAACAAGCTGAGAAATCATCTTATCAAAGGGCTGATTTGAGAACACTGTGGCTGACATATAATTTTTTTCTGACCCTAAAGTGACATGTGAGTCAAATGTAAAATAGAATCCCACATAAGAATCATGGGCCTTGAATTATTCACTGCCTATCATACTCTCATTGTGGCCTGAGAAACTCCCATTAACCTTTGTGAAGTTGTTGAATTAGTGAGTGGATAAAGAAATGTTCAGCTAGAAATTCAGTTAGAAATGCAATTTTCTTGTATGAAAAATGTACAGTGTAGTGTACAAGTGAATATCCAAGGCCATCCTTTCTGTCCAGAGTGGGTGTGGCACCAAAGTCTTTGTTTACTTTATTCTTTCCTGAAAAGCATTACACTATTCAAAAAGCAAAAGAAGACTGTGACATTTTTTACATTGACATACTGAAACCAATGAACTGAGGAAGAAGTCTAAAGTAAGACTTGAAGAGAAATCCTAACATAATATACATGTTGACAAACTATAGTTAAGCTGTCAAATTAGCACAACATAGTATGCTTTTCACTATGGTTTCTAGGCTAATTTGTCCTGAACTATCGTCATAAAATAGTTTACAGATTTGTGTCTTGTACTCTTTTTGCAGTGCCAGGGTTCTGGAATTCATTCAAACCCTGTTAGTGAAAAGCAGTGCCCTTGTGATTATTTGGAAAGAATCAATTAAAGGGTAATGTCGCTCTTTGTGTTTTTAGATAAAGTATGGGTGAGATTCGGGTACAGCTGAATTCTTAAATATGCAAGTTAGAAATAAAGTCTAATAAAAACAATTTACACTTTGAGTCAGGTTTTGTGTCAGTATTTCAGCAGTTTTTGAGAGCGTGTTTGATATCAGTGTTTGTATATTCAATGAAAATGCATTTTCCACACAATCTTATACCTGCTTTTTATGACTGTACCTAGTATAAAGAATACATGTTATACATTCTACCTACATGTACAAAGAATGCAAGCCAAGCTCTTTTCTTTTGTGCTTTAAGGTGATTTGAGGACTAAACATGAATAGTCCATGGTCATGTTTTCCATTTCACTAAGGAGTCATTTCACAGCATCTTGGTCCACTTGGCATTTCTGTGAAAACATCATAGAATGGGCTGTAGTGGGTGTGAAAAGTGGAGATGTGAAAAATGGCCTTTGTGTGTATGTATATTGGTATGGTAGGCCATGGACTGGAGTACAATTAAACTATCCTATGGAGCTAGCCAGGAGTTAAAGGAATTAAGGGTGGTCACAGCTGTATAGTGTCTATTGGAAGAGGGTGATTTTTTTTAAAGTAGAACAACAAAATCAACCAATACTTAAAAATTCCAATGGATAATTTGTAAATAGCTTTTAATTTTTACAACTTGAAGTGTTCTGAGTGTGAAAAGTTGAGTAAAACTATTTGCAACTGGTTTTAAAAAAAAGAAAAAAAAAGAAGAGAAAAGTAAGGAAGGAGTAAAGGAAGGAAGGAAATGAAACAGGCCAGGGAGAGAGGTGATCTTATCATTTCTGAAAATTGTACTGTTTTATAATGTATTGCGATATTAATGTGAATATCTTGAATTCAGTTACAAATTCTGCAGTGTTACTTAAAAATGTAAATTAATTGTTTGTCTTCTTAGCCAATCCAACCACCCTAGTAGGGAGGTGTCCATGTTTGAAGAACCGTGTAACTCAGTAACTGACTTGTTCTGACGTTGTAGCTCAATAGAAGTGATTTGGAAGGAAGCATGGTGTACGAGATGGTGTCTGTCCCTTTGTGCCAGCTCTGTATGATGTTTGTAAGATCATGTTTGTAAGACATGAATAAATCGCTGCTTTTGCTCAACTTTATTTCAACTCAGATTTTTTTGCCATAAAACCCTGTAATAAGCCTTTTTCTGAATTTGTTTTTATTTTAGTTTTTATGGTTATTGTAGAATTGATATACAAAGGAGGTACAGTTACATGAGTCAGGTAATGACTAATGAGTGTTTTGAACTATGTCTCCTCTCTACTCGCTCTCTCCTGTTTTTTTCCCTCCCATTCCCACCCACAAGATACAGCTCATTTTCTACATAGTGTCTAGTATCACTGTTGTATTTGTTCACCTTTTGTTCCACCTTTCCTGTGCCCTCCCAAATACAAATAAACCAACAGTCAAGACAAAAGGAAAAGAAAAACAAGTAAAAAATGTCTCTTCTTTCCTTTTCTAGGAGTTCATTCAATAGAATATTAGTTTATATGATTATCTGCACATAAGGCTATTGAGTTTGTCAACCACTCCTATGCATATACACATTTGGCTTCAGTGTGTTAACATCTAGAGTCCTAGAATGTGCCTATAAATCTACAAGTAAATGCAGTGGACGATGAATAGATGCCCAAACATTGGGACATGTATTAAGACTTTCCTTACTGCTGACTGGCATAGATGAAAGCTACCAATTGAATATCAGGATACTCTACATACTTTATTCTATTTTATTTATTTATTAACAACTATTGGAGACAGGTACCCATATTCTTATTGTAAAGAAATAAAATCTGAGGCACGAATAGTAAGCAATGAGTTCTTCTTCCTCCTCCATCCCACAGCATACTCCTCAAGAGGGTTCATCAGTTCTGTCTGCCATATTCTTTTTTATATTTGTCAGTCTTGGGGTTTGAATTCAGGTCCTGGACACTATCCCTGAGCTTTTCTAATGCAGGCTAATGCATTCCCATTTGAGCCACAGCTCTACTTTTGGCTTTTATGGAGATAACAGTCTCATTAATTTTTCTATGGATTAGCTAGGATTACAGGCATAAGGTACCGAAGCCCAGCTTTATGCTATATTATTTAAGAAGGCATATTTCCATATTCTGTGACTTATTTCTAAACTACTTTTCCATATTAATGTTTTCTCTGTTATTTTAGTCATCATTGTTTTTATTATTTATTCTTTTTTCCTTTTTATTTTTCTATTTCTCTTGATCTATTTTGTGTCACTGGCTTTTATCATTTTTATATTTTCCCCACTTTCTTTCAATGAATAGATTTAATTAATTAAGTGATTAGTCAATGCAAGCCATTCTTTTTAAGAAAGGGACAAGCCCAGGGTAGCTGCAATATTTCCATCAGACATCAGCTAAAGAAAATGGCAACAGTGAGGACCATGTGTATAGAAGATTTCTATGGTGACTACACTTTATAAAATAGTCTTGCAAATACAATGAACTACTGCCATACAATGAATTACTGCCATAATATTTTTGTTTTAAATGGTAGTAATTGTAATAAGAGTATGTACAAATATATTAGAAGTATTGGTTAGATATTACATTTAAAAGTTTATTTATTTGTTTGTTCTTTTGTTTACTTGCTGGTACCAGGATTTTAATTCAGGAGCTCACACTTGCTTGGCTTGTTTACATGGCTGGTGTTCTATTACTTGAGCCATGTGTCCAGTCCTGCTTTTTGATGGTTGTTTTGAACATGGAGTCTCCTGGGCTTGTCTGCCTATGTTTGGTTCAAACCACAGTCCTCTAGATTGCAACCTCAAGAGCAGCTAGCAGTAGGGGTGTTAGACATAGGAAGCAATCAGATATTAGGAGATCTTCAAAGGAAAGTAATCACTAGTAAAATGCTAACCACAACCATCAATAGAAATTAGAGCATACCTATTATAAAAAATTAAATAATCAAACAAAATTATATGATATAAAAATGTGTTCATGAATTTGATGCAACTTACACCTCAATAAAGATGTGCTAGGATAAAACATACAATGGAAGTCAATTAGGGAAAAAAAACTGAAAAAGACCAATAAAATTTATATTACTACTAAACATATACTGCATTCCATATTTTAGGGGTAGTTTGACTCTTAAAAAACACCTTCCTAAAAATGTATGGTTAATATTATGACTATTTAAAGTCATTCGAAGTTGTTCCTGTGTAAAAATAACAGAAACCCACTTTTTTTAATCTGGAAAGGCTGTCTACTTTTAAATAGTTGTTCTTTTTTGTTTTAAGCTGTAGGGGTGATTGCTGAACCTGGGTCTAGGAAATACCAGAGTTGAATGCAGAGATTTATCCCCAGTCCTATTTTTAAGAGACTGTATCCTAATTTTAAGTATTGTTTTATAATCTGTGAAAATGTCTTCTCTCCCACAGACAATGACTTTTTGCTGAGTTTAATCTTTCAAATCTTAACCTATCCATGTTTGCATTTCCATATTTGTTTTTTCAACACAAGCATGTGTTATACATTTTTCTTGCACTCTATTTTCAATTGGAGTGGATCATGAAGATAATTCTTTGGCTGCCTATAGAGTCCTCAGTTTGATTTTACAGCATCAAATTGAGATGTATCCTGGTTTAAATATATCAGTAGTTAGTTGGAAACATATGTTTATTCTCTCATAAGACAAGGCCTTTATAAGGAAGAAATGTGTATTTTATTGATTTTTATATTTCCACTTATTCCCTCCAGTCCCCATTCACAAGTTATGTGGTTCATTTCCATCATAGTATCTAGTAAGTATCATGGCTGCATTTGCTCACCCTTTTTCCTACCTTTTATGTTCCCTCATTACTCTTCCAAAGTCAGATAAATGAACAAACAAGACAGAAGGAAAAGAAAACGAAAGCAGCAAAACATTTCCATTTTCTGTAGTTCATGTCGATAAGTATTATTTTAT